TGATATGTTTTAATAAAACCTAACACAAAATTTAATTTACTTATTCCATAGTTAGCCAATAAAAATATTTAGAGTTTCTTTGGATGATGATATTTCTATCAAGTTTTGATGAAAGAGTCAATCAACCAAACACAATAACCGGAGATTGTAGCGCAAATAAAATAATGCATTTTTTGAGATTTCTACAATTCATTGTATGATAATAAAACACACTGTAATGAATTGTAATATATTGCATTTACATACCGTTATAGATGGTGCGGGGGGTAAATTTGCACGGTTGTTATTGATTGACAAATTCTAAGAGAATAATTGTAGAAGAAAACTCACGTGTGGAAATGGGTTTCAATTTGCGTTAGTGTATTTATAACAATCGCAAGGGAGTTTACCCATCAAGTTTGACCTACCTTAATTTTTTCGTGTATTTTATTGTGAATTTGGTAAACAATTATAGATATATAGAATTATATTGAATTATAATTGCAATAAATGTATTAAAGAAATCAACTTGAAAATTTTTAATCTTAAACAACACAGTTCGTTTTGTTATTAAATGACAAGGAATGAAAACTAACAAAAAATAATAATACCGTAAAATTAATAATTTTAAATATTTGAAGTGCTTCATAGCAAACTATATTTTTGATACATTTCAAATGACGTCACAAGGATTCGGTTGCTTTCAATTTTTATGTATAAACGCAATTTATGTATGATAATATGTAAACCTATGCTGAAATAGACATTTTCGAACTTTCGTAAAATTGCAGATGTTGGTCAAATTTTTATACCCTCCACCATAGTACGGAGGGTATATTAAGTTTGTCATTCCGTTTGTAACACCTCGAAATATACATTTTAGACTCCACAAAGTATGCTCTTGATCAGCATAAAATTCTATGTCGATTTAACAATGTCCGTCCGCTGTCTGTCTGCCTATCCGTCTGTGGAAATCACTCTAGCTTCCGAACGAAATGAGGTAAATTGATAAAAAATTTCTCAAATATGTATTATGTCTGCATGACTTTTGGTATTGAAAATTTTCCATGTAGGTCCACGTCTACGTCATATATATGGTGTAGCCCCCATATAACGGTACCTCCCGATATTCGGTATTTTGATGATTTTAGCGAAATTATTTAACGGAACTATTTCAAAGTTGGTATTCGAAGTTCGTAATGGATACTACAGCCTATGACAGAAAATTGTCTGTTCAGGTCCACGTCTTCGTATAGCCCCATATAACGTTACCTCCCGATATTTCGGTATTTTGATGATTTTAGCGACATTATTCAACGGAACTATTTCAAAATTTGGTATTTGAAGTTCGTAATGGATACTACAGCCTATGACAAAAAATTGTCTGTGCAGGTCTACGTCTTCGTATAGGCCTCATATAACGGTACCTCCCGATATTCGGTATTTTGATGATTTTAGCGACATTATTTAACGGAATTGTTTCAAAGTAGGTATTCGACGTTCGTAATGGACACTACAGCCTATGACAGAAAATTGTCTGTGCAGGTCCACGTCGTCGTATAGCCCCCATATAACGCTACCTTCCGATATTCGGTGTTTTGATGATTTTATCGACATTATTTACCGGAATTGTTTCAAATTTGGTATTCGAAGTTCGTAATGGATACTACAGCCTATGACAGAAAATTGTCTGTGCAGGTCCACGTCTTCGTATTGCCCCCATATAACGGTACCCCCCGTTATTCGGTATTTTGATGATTTTAGCGACATCATTTAACGGAACTATCTTAATACCTCCCGATATTCGGTATTTTGATGATTTAAGAGACATTATTTACCGGCATTGTTTCAAAATTGGTACTCGAAGTTTGTATTGGCATTTTTAAGATTTTAACAGATTTTTTAATGGATTTTAATTTTTTTTTGAAAATTGCCAAGTTTGTACCAAATGGTGGAGGGTATTCAAAGTTCGGCCCGGCCGAACTTACAGCTTTTTTACTTGTTTTTATCCGGGGTTTCGTATATATCTACAAAAAAAAAAAGAAAATACAATTTCTGACACTCTTCCTAGACCACCATTTATGGCTATTGAATTTTTTAAGTAGCCATTACAATTTCCCAGTGTAGGTTATAAAAATTCAATATTTTTTTAATTGCCTGGTTTTTGCAAATGTAATCTGAGATAATTAGTCAAAGGTGACAAGCTGAAGAAAAAAGTGTGACAATCGTATGTCATTATTGAGTTAAGATTTATTGGATTTTTGATTTTCTATTTATTCGCCGATTAAAGTGATTGCAGTCCGAGTAATTAATTTGCAATATGCACTTTATAATTTATAGCTAATTTAGAATGAAACTAATTACCGATTCAAAGATTGATTTAAAATATAAATTTATATTTTTCGAAATTATTTTTTTGGAAGTGCAATTGGCAGTTTTAAAAACGTCTATTATTGAACACCCATAGCACCATTAAATAGGTCCCACTGTATATGTGGGTTATTTAAAGGGGTTTTGTATTAATTCTCTTTAATTCCCAGTTTTCATTCCAGCTGCTCATAGAAGAATTTAATATCGGTCTATGTTTTAGTACCTTGAAGTAAAATTGTGAAATTGATAATCTGTTTAATCCTTGCACACAATTCCCCTCGTACATTAACACTTATCGGAGGGTCCTTGTTCCACCCATTCATTAGTAAAATATTCGTAGTTGTTTAAGTTTTGGAAATAAGATTTACCCTATTTTAGCGTTTTTCAAACATCAAAATTCTCTCTCCGTCCATTAAGCTAAATTCTAAGATTCTAGCTTCAGCCGTTGCGCTTGCATATCTGAAGCAATCTCGGTGAAATTTGGCAGAGGTATTTTCGAGCTGTATCTGATGCCTGGTATCAAATTTCACTGTTGTGGAGGGCATATTACATATGAGAGGGACTTTAACAACAAATCGGCTGAAGCATATTATGGGAGCTATAGCAGCACCTGAACCGATTTTCACCAAAATTTGAGGCACTTGCTTTTAGTTTGAATTCCATCGAAAATGCCAAAAATTCAGTCTATTTGGACTGATTTTCACCAAATTTAATGCACTTGCTTTTAGACTGAATTCGATGGGATTTGCCAAAATTCAGGCCAGTTAGCAATTTGGTGCACAAGTAACCCGAAATCGGTTGAAAAAATATATAGGATCTATATCTAAATTTTGACTGATTCTCACGAATTTCAATAGAGTTCGTCCTTGGAAGGAAGGAAGTATCCCATTTGATCCAAACTTGGAACATCGTAATATTATTGTCAAACTTAGATCCAGTTCGGAGTTGGGCAATATCGGTCCACTCTTTCTGGTACCTCCCACACAAAATATCAACATCTTCAGAGAAAATAATTTACTGCACCGAAAATGAAAGAATAATCTGATTTTGCTCCAACTTTGCAAATCCTTATAACTGCATCAGTGCTAGGTCAGGTGCCAAAATGGATAATATCGGTCCACTCCATCAAATGGAAATGGAATATATCGGTCCACTCCTTGCGGTACCTCCCACAAAGCGCCAAAATTTTAAATATTCACGAAGCTCATAAAGCATGAAAGTAACATCCGAGATCTCAATATCTCTATTAACAGAAAATCAGTTATTAAGATGATAGATCGGTTCATTCCAACTGGTACCTCCTCCACAAAGAGTCAAAGCACGAAATTAACATCCGATTGCATTCAGACTTGACACATCTTAATGTCTCCATCAACACAAGTTCTGTTATTAAGATGGTAGAGATCGGACCATTTCTTCCGGTACCTCCCCCACAAAGGGTCAACGTTTTGAATAACCATAACTCTTATAATATCCGAAATAAGCATCCAGCTCTCTTCATCCCATTCACACATCCCATTATTTCTACAGGGTTGCCCATATTCGACGAACCCATCTGGCAACGCCATAACTTTTGACAGATATGTCACATCGCTTAATGACATACCGCGTTTGAAGCGTCAGTCCAAGCAGATTTTTACCATGAACCAATAACGCCACGCGAGCGCTCTGAAATAGTTGAAATTTACATTCAACAGAAAAAGTCAATTGTGAAAACTCAACGTGCTTTTAAAACATTAAAAAATGTGAGAAGTGCGCCTTCTAAGAACACCATTAAGCGTTTATACGAAAAACTATCGACTGGTAAGGCTCTTTCTAATCCGAAGAGGCCATATAAAAGTCGACCAAGGCGATCGGCCGAGAATATCGCTGCCGTACGAGCCAGTGTTGAGAGGTCCCCAAGAACATCCCAAAAACGCCGTTCTCAGCAGTTGGATTATTCGCATTGATTTGCATTTGTTCCCGTACAAAATTCAATTGACGCAAAGAATGTTGCCTGCGGACAAGCCTTGTCGATTGGAATGGGCCCAAAGAGTCATCGAAAAAACATGGGTTCGTCGAATACGGGCAACCCTATACTAGCACAAGATCTGCTGTGAAGATGAGATAAATCGATTCACTCCTTCTGGTACCTCACACAGAAAGGGTCAACATTTTGAATATCCATGAAGCTCATAAAACGAGAAATTAACATCCGATTCCATTCAGGCCTGGGACATCTCAATATTTCTATCAACACAAGATCTGTTATAAAGATGGTAGAGGTCGGACCATTTCTTCTGGTACCTCCCCCACATAGGGTTAAAGATTTTGAATAACAAAACGCTCAAAGAAAGCGAATTTCAATACTTTAATCTATCACAGCTTGCGAAACCAGTCAGCGATCCTTTACAACTTGCTCTCAACCAGAAACCTGAGATGAATATGGAATTTAGGATTTCGCATAATATTGGATTAGATAACTGTTCGATTTTCTTGTAATTTTCCAAAAGAAATATTTTTATTTGTATTAGAGAGGTATGAAAATGGAATACTTCGGGCGACTATATAGAATAAGATATTTTTTGGAATAAGAGTTTCATATTGGCTCAAACCTAGGAATAATGTTCCATTTTTTAATTTGATCTCAAAATTGATGTTCACTTTATTACCTCCCTTTCAGCGCCAATTCGACTTCATCCATTCTCTCGATGACGCCTCGGTTAATAACCTCCTTGACATTCGTGGCCGCCAGGAAATCCAAATGGACAAAACGCTTCAAATCAATGAAATGATTGATGCTATTATTACCCAAAAGTTCACTTAATTTTTCCACATCCTTCTTGGATGACAACTCATCGAAGTTGCTGTAGTAGAAATGCAGGGGGAAGCGGGGTTGGATATTCGACACCTCATAGTCAGGCGGCGTGGAGCGATTGTAACGTTTTTGATTTCCCTTCGGCCCGAAATCATATTGACGAAAATGACCCGACACATGCAGCTGGACAAAATGTATGGCCTGATGGGTGGAACAGCTGGCCGGATGGGTGGCAAAAAATTCCGGTATTATGGACTGGAAATTAAACAAAAATAACACTAGTGAACATTTCCCCTGGAAGGTATTCAATTGTTACCTCATTAAAATAGCCCGAGGCACCACCATAGATCGAAAATAAAATATAGGTACACATTTTCATATCCGCATCGGGATTGCGACATTTTTCAAAGCCCAACATTTGCTGTAAGAATTTTTGTTGCATAAACGGTTCATCTCCCAAAGCGGCAGTCAATGGCCCATATGTACCCAATAGGGGTACCATATCAAGCAACAATTCCGATCGAACATTTTTCATATAGGCAATGGGTGCCAACATGTGGGCCGTTTTTAATTTATGATTATATTCCGGCCGACTGGAAAGCAACACAAACATAATGGTCGTACCCTGAGAATGACCCACATAGTGCAGGGCGGAATGACCAGTTTCCCTTAGAATATAATCCATCATGGTGGGCAAATCAATCGTGCCAATTTCATGCCAAGAAAAACGCCAATATTTTTTCTCTTTCGGTGACATGCTGGAGTGGCGCATACCATATGGATTACCACGGCTATTTCCTAGCCATACATCATAACCTCGTTCCACCAGCTCATATGATAGAGCAATTTCCGGACCCATGAAAACCCAACAATCCGATGAACCGGTGAAACCATGCATCAAGAGGACCGCAGGACGTTGAGGGCCATTATCACTGCGACGGGATTTTTTAATGCGAAACAATTGCAGGGTAAAACCATCTGAAGTCGTAACACTGTGACTCTCACTATAATAACCATGGCTCAATATGCGATCTGCCTGTTGGAGGTGAACATTGAAATTCCCATAAATTTCAAGAAAAATGTTCCCACTCACCGTCGTCCTGCCAGCAGCACTGTCCACACCCTCATCCAAATGCAAAACGACAAATACGAATATAATTTCTATCAGACAGCTTTTCATTTCGCTTCTCAAAATCGCAGACCTAGGCAAATTTACGATGTCGGCTGCAAAGTCAATAATGCTTCCGTATTTGATGAGACATGGAAAAATATACCCTCTCCAATTGATTTGTATTCTTCGGATGAGGCATTCGAAACGTGATTGCATTTTTAATTACTAATCAGACCTAGGGTTGGGTTTCCTTTTGCAAATTCGCACCACGCTACATTTCCTCCGGTTGCGTGCCTTAGAATGGCATGTTAGACGGAGTTGCAATGCATTGAGAATGACTTGACGTTTTAGAAAGAAAATTGGCGTGTCAAAATCCTGCCCAGGGCCTTGGTATTGGGTGTTTATAAACACGTGTCGGAACAATTACTTCCAGGAAAACACAAAATTTATTGTCTTAGGTCATAGACGTTTTCGTAATATTTTATACAAAGAAATCCAAAATATCAAAACAACATAAAGAAAATCTTTAAGATCCGAAGGGCCGAACTTTTAACATCCTGACACTCATGAGGTAAAGAAAAAATGTACAGGGTTGCCCATATTCGACGGACCCTTGTTTTTTTTTTAAATCAAAGAAAAAAATAAAAATTTGGCGGTTGGCAATGTTAATCATTTAATTTGTTCCAAGTAGATTTGTTTACATCAATTTTTGAAAATGATATCTCTCAAATGGCCTCCTCTGGCGTTGATGACGTATTGTGCCCTTTTTGCTGCATTTTCCATCGTTTTTGACAACATTTCGGCCGAAATAGCGGTTATTTCTTCACGACTGTTGTCTTTGAGCTCTTCTACGGTCCTTGGCTTGTTAACGTAAACCTTTGACATCAAATATCCCCACAAGAAGAAGTCAGGCGGCGTCAAATTGGGCGAACGCGGTGGCCAGTCCAAATCACTACTTTTCGACATCAAACGGCCCGGAAACAAATTCTTCAGAAAATCGATTGTTATGCGACTTGTGTGCGGTGGAGCGCCGTCTTGTTGAAACCAGAACTGCCTCATACGCTTTCGACGAATAATTTGCATCACAAAATTGGTCATCATGTCGCGATAACGCTCCTGATTGATGGTAACAGCATGGCCATTTTCATTTTGGAAGAAAAACTCCCCAATGACCGTTTTCGCTCTAACGCCGCACCAAACTGTGACTTTTTCGTCATGAAAAGGCACTTCTTGAATCTCCTAAGGATTTTCAGTGGCGTAAAAACGGCAATTTTGCTTATTTACGGTCCCATTCAATGAGAAATGGGCTTCATCGGACATGATAATTTTGTTCCAAAATTGCTCGTCATCTTCGGCCATTTCGATGACTCTTTGGGCCCATTCCAATCAACGAGGCTTGTCCGCAGGCAACATTCTTTGCGTCAATTGAATTTTGTACGGGAACAAATGCAAATCAATGCGAATAATCCGTTGTAAGGTGGACCGAGCCATGCCCAACTGCTGAGAACGGCATTTTTGGGATGTTCTTGGGGACCTCTCAACACTGGCTCGTACGGCAGCGACTTTTATATGGAGCCTTACCATTCGAAAATTTTTCGTATAAACGCTTAATGGTGTTCTTAGAAGGCGCACTTCTCACATTTTTTAATGTTTTAAAAGCACGTTGAGTTTTCACAATTGACTTCTTCTGTTGAATGTAAATTTCAACTATTTCAGAGCACTCGCGTGGCGTGTATTGGTTCATGGTAAAAATCTGCTTGGACTGACGCTTCAAACGCGGTATGTCATTAAGCGATGTGACATCTCTGTCAAAAGTTATGGCGTTGTCGAATATGGACAACCCTGTATGTATCATATCATATTGTTTACAAGCGTACAAAGGCATTTTGGTGAGAACTTTCCACAAAAAAAGTTATTCGTGATGGAATTCAAGTGTGATAGTGAGATTTCTTTATATTTGGATGGAAAACCACAAGTGGCTATCGTTAGAGCACTCCAGCATTTAAATTTGAATAAATCTTTTGCGTCTCGTACCATCCATCGCTCGTTACCGTGATACTGATAGCGTAGCCCGACGTCAAGGAAGTAGACGGGAGAAAACAGCAACATCAGCAGAAATGGTTAAAAAAAAGCGACTTGATCGAAACCCGAATCGCACTAGCCGAAAAATGACCCGTGAGCTGAACATATCACAATATTCCATTCGGCAAATATTGAAAATGGAGCTCGGGACAAAGCCATTAAAATTCCACAAAGTGCAAGAACTTACACTGCCACAGAAAGAAAATAGACTCAAAAGATCTAAAGAGTTGCTTCGCTTGGCCGAAAGTGGTTACTCTGCCTAATTTGGTTTCCTTCGATAAGAAAACATTCATTGTCCAGCAGTTTGTAAACAAACAAAATGATCGTGTTTACTTGCCAAAGAGGTCAGCTGAAAATGTGCACCTCCAGTTGGCCACCAGAACTCAAGCGACAGTCATGGTGATAATGTGGGCCAACATAACAGCCGATGGTCGCACTCCGCTTGTATTAATCGACCGTGGCATCAGAATAAATGCAGAATAATATTGCGAAAATATTCTGGAGGGTGTATTAAAACCCTGGGAACGCAGACATTTTGGCCGCATACCTTGGATATTCCAACAGTACCCAGCACCATCGCACTCAGCACGCGCCACGCAAGAATGGTTACAAAATGAGGTTCCTCGCTTCATTTCCAGCGCACAATGACCACCAAAATCTACGGATACCAATCCGTTGGACTATTGTGTCTGGAGTATTTTGGAAAGCAAGGTTGGCACTAAAAATACCAAAGTGTCGATCACCCCAAGCAAGCGCTTAGACGGGAATGGGCCAAAATACCGCAGAGCAACATTCGGGCAGCGTGTGACGGATTTATTGATAGTTTGAAGGCCATAATTCGTGCCAAAGGTGACCAATTCGAACCGATCTAAACTTATTCTAAAATTTGATGCCTTTTCCGAACTTTTTTGCATTTATTCAATAAAATTAAAAAAAAAAAACAATTTAAAAATTACGGCGTTTGGCTTTGTTGCAGTTTCTTATCTCACCATGTAAAGGGTACTTTCGATTGGCGTTATGACAAAGGACAGGAATTTGTGACAGATTCGAGGTATATTTTCCTGGAAGGTACAGCGAGGAAATGGAAGTATCCTTTTTAAAGGATTTTACAAAAAAAGGATCATCTACTTCTCATTCGATCCTAACCTTTTTTTAACATTTTAAACGCCTTATGAGCTTTCCAATGGTAAAAATAATGGAATTGCAGTAGTGTTTGGGTGATCGGTGTGCCCAATGGAATTATCTTTTTTAAATAATATTTAAAAAATTATCGTATACCTTGGAATCTGTCCGAAAATCTTTTTATACCCTACAACACTATGTGTTGGGGGTATTATAAGTTTGATTGGGCCAACAATTATGTAACACCACGAAATATTGATTTCCCACATAGGAAAGTATATATGGATCTTCCTATCTCGCCGAGCTGAGTCGATTTAGCTATGTATGTCCGTCCGTCTGTCCGTCTGCCCATGTTAATTTGTAGTCACTCTACAGGTCGCAATTATGGTCCGATCTTCACGAAATTTAGAATGGAGGTGGGGCTAGGTTCGGAATAGAACCCTATTTCTTTTGGAGATGATTGCATAATATTTAGGGGTTGAAATGGACCAAAAAATGAAAAAATTCCTGATTTTGCAGTTGCTCTACAGGCTATACAGGTCGCAATTATAGACCATAAGTTAGCATGGGGCTACAGCTTAGGGCTGGACAGAAGCCTTTCAATGTTGATGGTCATCGTGTAATATTTAGTGGGTGAAATAGGCCACAACATTTGTGTTAAATAAAAGTCAAATTTTCCATTAAACCGCGAATATTTTTAATCCCGGCGAAATCACAAATCGACGAGCAGATCAATTCTGACCGTTACTATATATAACCGATAGTAAATATATCGGTTATATATAGCGAAATATATACAATGCGTATATACAAAGGAAGGGAATGTTAGATAGAATGCTTATATCTCAAGAATGGCTGGACAGATTTTGACAAATTTTGTCAATTCTGAATGCCCTCCTGTCATAAAAGAATAAAATCTAATCGCATAAAAATATGCCAATAATGATGTTAATATAGATTTTGTAATATTTTTTGACATTTTTTTATTATTTCATATTTTTTATCGCATGAGATTTTTTCAATTTGATTTAAAATATTGAAGTTTATATTTTGTAATACATTTCACCTAACAGCACAGGTTAGGGTTAATATATACAAATTGCAATTATCGTCCGATCCTCACGAAAATTTTCACAAGGTTAGGGTTAGGCTCAGCAGGGCTAGGCCTATTGTTTTCAAAGAGCACCGCCATATTTAGGGGTTGAAATAGACCAACAACTAAAAATTTTCCTGATTTTGCGAAATCACGAAATCTCGTTTGAAGTTAGAATCTAGGACAGCGGGTAGAATGGACCACTACTTTTGTGTGAAAAAATACCATCATATTTTACAGGCGATATTCAAAATACACAAAAGGCGAACTTTAGCCAAATATCGTAGACAAACAAATCATATAGATGAGTCTCAATTTGGAGATACAGAGGGGCCTCTTGCTTTTGGAGATGATCTCAAAATACTTAGCGGTTCAAATGAACCAAAAACAGAAAAAAATTCCTGATCACACAATAGAAACCAATCGACACGCCTGAGAAGAGCGTTAAGGAGAGGGAAGAATTCAAGTATTTTTGATGACCATTGGACTATATTTAGCTGTAAAATTTGCCACAACAACTAACAGCTCGACGATGTGCGTAAATATTGGGCAAATATCCCTGGTCTAAATGCTAAGGGTAAAATCTGTGCAGTGCTTCGCGAAATCTTCCAAAATGGATTTGGACATAAGAGGGCTTCTAACATATTGTAGTGTTGTAGGGTATAACATGGTCGGCCCCACACGACTATAGCCTTTGCTTACTTGTTTTCAAATCATTTCCTTGGCCCTTTCACATAAAAGATTTTTAAAATAGTTTTCGTAGTAGAATAAAAACTCCTTACAACAAAAGTGTGAACTAAAATTTATTCTAATAAATGCAATGCGAACTATTTCTATATCACAATTTAACTCTTCCTTATATCTAAGTAATTTTTAAGCTTATCCTAAGATTTATTTTCCTGCTGCAACAAATGTTCCACCTTATTCATTTGCCGCAGTATGCCATTATTCAGTACCGCCTTCACATTAGAACTCCACAAGAAATCGGCGTGAGCAAAATTTTTCTCGTTAATGAAATGAGGCAGACAGCGTTTACCCAATATCCTTATCAAATGCTCAACATCCTCCCTGGCGGAGAGAACATCATTGTCACTGTAATATAAATTCAAAGGAAATCGAGGTTTTATATTGGCCACCTGGTAATCGGGTGGTGTGGTTTGATTATAACGTCGCAGATTTCCCACAATTCCATGATCATAGGGACGAAAATGTCCCGAGACATAGGCCTGGACCAAGTGTATAAATTGATGTGTGGAACAGCTGGCCGGGTGGGTATTAAAAATTTCCGAATAGATGGACTAAATAGAAAAAATGTATTTTACTTTAGAAATTCCATGGAGATTACCTGCCTTACTTACTTGTGGTATGTGGGTGGAATAACCCAATGACAAGTTGAGCCAGAAATCACACAAACATCGATGAGTAAAAGGACTACGACATTTGTTTATCCCCAGAACTTTTCTTAACAGTGGATTTTGTAAGAATGGCATATCACCGTACACAGCATCCAAATTACTGTATGTTCCGAAGAGAGGAGCTGCCAGATGTATGGGCTTCGAACGAGCATGTGACATAAAGGCAATCGGGGCAAACATGTGACTAGTTTTCAATTTCTGATTATATTTCGGCTGTGTGGAGAGCAGAGCAAACATAATTGCCGATCCCTGAGAATGACCAAAATAATGCAGGGAATTCTGGTGCGTCAGCTGAAGGATATAATCTATGGTGGCGGGTAAATCTTTCGATGACACATCATCCAAGGTATATTGCCAAAATCTGCGATCATTTGAAGAGAGAGATATATGACGATTGCTATAGGGATTACCGCGATAATTTCCCAACCACACATCATAGCCGCTGTCCGCCAAATTGAAGGGCAACGCATCCGCTGGCCCCCCCAATATCCATGCGTCCGAGGAACTCACCAAACCATGCATCATTAGGGCGATGGGTTGGGGTTTTTGGTGTCCTCTAACTGTTGCATTTGTTATGCGAAATATACCCAAGATGTAACCATCTTTTGTTTGTACCTTGTGGGTCTCAGCGGAATAGCCGAAATTCCGTATACGATCAGCCTGAAGAAGAAAGATAATATCAAAAGTAAATTATGAATTATTATGAAAATTCGATGTACTTACTGTTGTCCGAGGAACAGTCTTCGTCAGAGTTAGTTTTATAATTATCAGAAGTATTAAAATTAACCTCATATCGAACCTTTATCAACAATTTCAGTACTTCCTTGTGGAAGAAAGGGAATTCTTATTCTTATTTTCTTATCAAAGTGTCTACTTCTTGTCTTCTTGTATGACGTATTTCTAATAAGATGTGATGTACTTTTTTATAAATTCCACTTTCTAAGACTATTTCCCTCCTGTTTACTTTAAATTATAAAATTTTGAAAAAAATCTTATAAACCAGGACTATTTAATTCCGATCCGATAATGTACTTTGATATCTATTCTATTTTTACACCAAAATTAATTAGTGGTCACTCACCGATGACTAGGAATATTGACGCATTAGATTCCGACAAAATAAGTTTTTCTTAACTACTTATGGATTTTAAAATCACTTAATGAACCGTCTCATCATCCTGGTTAAGTACATTGAGTAAAAATAAGAAATTGTAAAGAGCTTTGAATCCTCTACATAATCTTAATTGGTGATGGCAGCAACTTAATGGGATGGTACATCTGTGGAAAGCTAAATACTTAAACATGAGACATAGCGATTGTTTTCTGGTCTACTTCTATGATCCTTCGGTTCTTCTGCGAGGATACTCTCTGGTCTTCTATGAGAAAGCTTTCTTATCTTGAATGAGAAGACATGCAGCCCCTCTATGAGAATACCTTCGAGTCTTCAAGAGTATACCTTTACTCACCTAAAAGAAGGCCTTCGGTTCTTCTATAACCTTCTGCTCTTTTAAGAGAAGACCACCCTCTGCTGTTTTACGCTTCTTCTATAAGAAAACCTCCCGATCTATTGGAAGAGTGTACCCTCTGTTCTTTAGCGAAAAGTCTATCTAGTGTTCTCAAAGAAGACCACCTGGTCTTCTGCGAGAAGACCCTCTGTCTTTCTATGAGAAAACCTTCTAGTCTTTTGTGAGAAGTCCTTCGTTTATTCTATGAGAAGTGCTTCTGTTCTTCCATGAGAAGACCCTCTGGTACCTCCTTCTCGTCTTCCAAACGAGAAGATCTTCTCATTTTCTAAACGAGAATACCTTCTCATCTTCTAAACGAGAAGACCTTCTCATCCTCTAAACGAGAAGACCTTCTCGTCTTATAAAAGAGAAGACCTTCTCATTTTCTAAACGAGAAGACCGTGTCGTCTTCTGAACGAGAAGACCTTCTCGTCTTATAAAAGAAAAGACCTTCTCATCTTCTTCTCGTCTTCTAAACGAGAAGACCTTCTCGTCTTCTATTCGAAGACCACCTCGTCTTCTATACTAAAGGCCTGCACAAGCCGAATTGTATGAATTATGCTTTTTTTGACACACTGACTTTGTCTACTCAATCATGCGCTATGTATTTGAAAAGCAATGACAACCAACAACATCCCCCATTTTGATTCATGTGTGCCATTGTCTAAGGTTCGATCTTGGCATGGCTGACTCGAATATTTGCATGGTGTTCTCGAAAAATGCAGGGTGTCAACGATGACATCGAACCGTGTCATCGTCAAATTGTGTGTCATTTGTGTACGTGTGCTTAAATTGAGAGTGTGTGTGTGTTACTTTCGACGACGAGGGTGTGATTTTGTGTGTGCTGTAGTTTTGAAGTAACAAACCCGCGTAAATATAAAATTGAGTTCAATAACAAAATGTGCATAGGGATCAACAAATGAATAAAAAAAGGAAATATATATTAATAATCCCAATTTATTGGTGATTATCATAAAATTTTTGTCATAAAAAAGAGGTAAATATTGTTTGCCTATTTTCTATCTACATATAGTGTTCTTTTAAAATTAAAGTTTGTGGGCGGAGATTTGACTCTCATTCAATAACGGAATATGCACAGAATTGAACAATGGGTGTATATAGTGTTGTTATGTGAATTACAGTAGCACTCAATCTAATTTACACCTCACTACCAGAGGGATTATTGTTTTTTAATAAGGATTAACTTTTTAGATTGTTTCGTCAATAACCACGAAATGTGGAAATTTTGTGTGGAACAATTAGAAGTACCTGTAATATTTTAGTATTCGCCAAGAAATTCAAGAAAAAGCAGGTAGCGATTGCGCTTTGTCTTCATCACGTGTGTGCCTTTTTCGTTGGAAATTGTTTCATAATTTTTGTTGTTTTTTTGATAGAACATTTTTGTATGACACACTACTCAACATCCCCTTTTATTGGTCATTACATGTTATGACGATGGGTTTGAGTCTGACCGACATGACGAGACATCGAGCATTTGGTTGGATGTCACGTCCTGTTATGCGTTTGATCAAACAGGGCACAACATGACGAGCGTTTTCCCTCCATGGCATAAATAGAGAAAAATGTCACACTTGCAGCCCTTTATTCTATACCAAGGCCTTTTCTTCTTCTATACGAAGACCTTGTGGATTTTTATACGAATACCTTTTGGTCTTCTCTACGAAGACTTTCTGATATTTTCTACGAAGACTTTCTGGTCTTCTCTACGAAGACCTTCTTGTCTTCTCTACAAAGACCTTCTGGTCTTCTATACAAAGAGCTTCTGCTCTTCTGTAAGGGGACCTTCCGCTCTTCTGTAGGAAGATTTTCTGGTCTTCTGTGAGGAGACCCTAAGATCATCTATGAGAGAGGACCCTCTGGCCTTCTATGAGAAGACTCTTTGGCCTTTTATGAGAAATCTTTTTTATCTTCCATTAGAAGACCCTCTAGTCTTCTTGAGAGAAGACCCTCTGATATTTTATGAAAGAAGACCGTCTGACCTTTCCTTCTGCTCTTCCACGGGAAGACCACCTTTTGGTTTTCTATAAGAAAACTTTCGAGTCTTCTATGAGAAGTCCTTCGCTTCTTCTATGAGAAAACCCTCCGATCCTTTGGATCAGTTCTTTAGCGAAAAGTCTCTCTGTTGGCCTCTTCTATATTCTTCTATGACCCTCTGACTTTCTATAAGAAAAACTTCTAGTCTTTTGTGAGAAATCCTTCGTTTTTTATATGAGAAGTGATTCGGTTCTTCCATTAGAAGACCCTATGGTACCTCCTTCTCGTCTTATAAAAGAGAAGACCTTCTCATCTTCTAAACGAGAAAACCTTCTCGTCTTCTATTCGAAGACCACCTCGTCGTCTATAACAAGGCTTTTTCTTCTTCTATACGAAGAGTTGTGAATTTTTATACGAATACCTTTCGGTCTTCTCTACGAAGACTTTCTGATATTTTCTACGAAGACTTTCTGGTCTTTTCTACGAAGACCTTCTTGTCTTCTGTACAAATACCTTCCGTAAAGGGACTTTCTGCTCTTCTGTAGGATTCTGTAGATTTTCTGGTCTTCTGTGAAAGAGGACCCTCTGGTATTGTTTCTCTGGCCTTCTATGAAAAGACTCTTTGGCCGTTTATGAGAAATCCTTCTTATCTTCCATTAGAAGACCCTCTAGCCTTTTCGAGATAAGACCCTCTGGTATTTTATGAGAGAAGACCGTCTGACCTTTTATGAGAAATTCCCTCTGGTCTTTTATAAGATAAGACAATCTGTCCTTCTATGAGAGAAGACCCTCTTCTTCTAGGAAAGAAGACCTTTTGATCTTCTATGAGAATAGTCTGTATGGGCTACTTTGACTGAAGACACCCCGGCCTCCAATGAGAGAAAGTCCTATGGCCTTCTGTGAAAAAAGACCTTCTGGTCTACGAGGACTTCTGGTCTTCATAGGGGACCCTATATTCTTTTATTTGAAAACCTTCTTGTCTTCTCTGAGGAGATCATCTTGTCTTCTAAGACCTGCAAGTCTTCTGATTGAATATTTTCTTATAGTCTCCTATATAGGATGGCATCCATGTTTTCTATGAGAAAACTTACTTTTTGTCTTGTTTAAGAACATTTGTAAGACCCTTTAGTGAAGGCTTTCTGCTATGAAAATATTTTAAGGCTTATTTTTGAACTAATTTCGGTCCCCCTCTAGAATAAATAATATTATTCTTATAGTTGAAGACCAAAACTTTACATTAAAAGTCTTCTATTCAAAGACTATCGTGAAAATTACATCCTCTATAAAAGTATCTTTCGATGCTTTTTTTTGAAAAATTAGTTCCTTTTGCAAAAGCCCTTCGAATTCTCACTCAAAAAACCTTCGATATTTTGGTTCCTAAATCATAAAACCTACTAACCATCTCTGAGAGAACTATCTGTCCTTCTATTATCTTCTTTCCTTTTGTTCTCGAATTTTATTCCTGTATCATGTAAAACGACATCTTCTATTTCTAAATTGAGACTTTGTGGCTGTGAAAGGGAAGTCCAGTTTTCTATTAGAAGATTTAGTTAAACAAGGCACTTCTCGTTCCTTAATTCGGAATTTTTACATCAGTTGGCATTAATAAATGACTGAGGTGCTAAAAAAAATGTTGAACTCAGGCTTATGCCTGTAGAAGATAATACAGTTAAAATAGTTAATGATACAGTAATAGCAAATAAGTTAATGGACCCTATACATCTTTTTATGATATCCTTTTTAAAACATTTGGAACCGATTTAAAAATATCCGTTCATCTGTAGAGCTGATGTCAAATGTAGAGCTTAAAGATGGACCACACTTTTTCTCACTTCGACAACACTTCGAATGATCTTCAATCCCATTAGATATGAAACTAGTCCCGATTTAATTATACTATTACACAAATCATAATTTTTTTTTGAGCTATTTTCAACGGAATGGCATAGTCAATACATTCTCCATTACGAAAAAGAAACCCAAAAAAAAAATATATATTTTTTTATTTTCAGAATGATTTTGTCACTGGAACACCCCAATGAAATTCACAACACATAGCAGCGAAACTACATTTTAAAATATAATAACTCGCAAAATTCTGGTATATCATTTTCAAAGCTCATTTTTCAATAATCTTAATATAATTATAATTTTCATTAT